AAAMYTAAAAAARTGACAATAAATTCAGATGTAAAAGCCTTCAATRATTGTATGGATTAGCATTATAAAGAAGCCAAATCAAAACTATTGAAATATTTATTTGTTTTGCTTTTATTTAACCAATTTCAATTTTCTGATCACATTGATTTATCTGACTATTTAACAAATTCACTCAGTTTATTTACCTACTAAATAATAAACTTCATAAATTATTTAATACGTATTGAACTTGATTTTTTCTATGTTCTTTTGATCAAAATGCATGGGCTATAAACCAATTTCAATTTTCTGATCACATTGATTTATCTGACTATTTAACAAATTCACTCAGTTTATTTACCTACTAAATAATAAACTTCATAAATTATTTAATACGTATTGAACTTGATTTTTTCTATGTTCTTAATGAAGACGCCGATTACATGCGAGTCTAGAGCTATTAATCTAGGGCTAGTTGGCTTCGTAGAGGGCTTGGTCTTGGTCAAAGGGAACCTCGGGTTCATTCGCAAACGGTTCGTCATTGTCTGGCCATGGTTCGTCTTGATCAGGTTCGTCTCTCTTCCCATAACAGCGCTCTTTACGTGTGTAACATTTAGGTTTGCATCTTCTTCGGCATCGTCTGTATTTATACCATCCTGAACAGCGGCGGCCACAAATCATGGTACAACGACGTCTGTAGCAGTAACGCATCACATGGCGGCGACGGCGTCGACGCCAAAAGAAACTATCAGCATCGGGCACGAGGAGAACAAAGATGAGACACAGCACCAACAAGACCTTGACATTCATGGCTGTTGACCTGAAATGACAAGAAAAGATCCAGTGAGCTACGTTTGGCGGCAGCATGTTTGCATAACTGGAGCTGTTACACCTCAACCGTCTCAAATGTCTGTCTAATCCCTTTACGCGTTTTTGCTGCAACTTTTTCGGGCGACTTTCAAAAATATAATAGGTTTTGTCCTTCTTGGGGGGCGTTTAATAAGTTAGCTCATCTCATTGTAATGAATAAAAGTTTACAAGTTAAATCTTTAGTATTATTCTCTAAGATCAAAATGACCACAAACATCGCCACAAACCATCGCTGGTGACGAGCCTTAACACTGCTTGTGCATGCATGAGTGCATAATTCGTTGCAAATCGTTATTTCTTAGTTACTTACCAAACTTTGGATCTGTTCTTTTCTCCTCAGTGAGCAAGATCAGACTGACTGTTTGCTGGAGTCAACTCCTAATTTGTAAGGGGTTTAAGGTGTGTCAACGTCATGTTATCTGAGACGGTGTATACTTGACCCCGATCTAAACTCGGAAAACGAAATTTTCAGTTTCAGAATAAGTTACATTGTAAAGACTGAAAAATAATTCACCCAGGATAAAAACAAAAAAAAGATGAATAAAAATAATTATTTCATTGGCATAATAGATTACTGAATAATTTGTCATGCTCAAACAAATAGCATTGTTTTTTATAAAATAATTAATAATAATAATGATAATAATAATGAAAACTTGTATAGCGCATACTATACAAGTCTGTTCTATGCTCTCTGATATAACTAACAAACAAATTAAACTCTAAAAGCTAAACTAAACAAATAAGTTTTGAGTTATTTCTTAAAGGACAGCAAAGAGTCAATGTTTCTTAAATCAGATGGGAGAGAGTTCCATAAAGTAGGGGCGGCAACAGAGAAAGAGCGAGAGCCATATGTTTTCGTGGAGTAAGGTTTAACAGRTAGGAGTAGACAAGCTAGTACTGGTGAGCTTAGTTTCATGACTAGAGAGTAAAGAAATCAAACAACTYAGATTCGAACCCCTGTCACTTTTGAAAAACATCAGTGAGTTTCGAACCAATCGGATGGGAATCGCGTTTTTAACTTCTTCAAGTTTGACTAAAAACKCCAAAAAAGTTATGAGTTTTTGTCTACAACGAGCAAAATTGCTGGAGCAAACTCCAGCTTTGTGAGTTTTAAGGTGTGTCAATTTCGTCTGAAACAGTATTGACTATACTTGTGTTCAGGGCTTTGCTAAATTAAACCTCCTTCAAAAACGAAATTTTAGTTTCATTTCAACTCAAGTTCAAAGAGACTCCTTAAAGACCGCTTTTCACTTTAAACTCAACTTCCGTTGAAGCTACGCTGTTGTGTATATTTTTATCAAAGCTACGTGTATGTAGTAACCCTATAGCATAGACCTTACAGCATGTGTACATTGTGAATAAATGCTCAGAAACCGTGGAAATTTGGACCTACAATTGCCCTATTTCATTATGACGTCACAATATGTTTACATCGGAAACCGATGCACAAAAACAGTGGAAATTTGGACCCATTTATATTGTCTACTAAAGTAGAACTTCAATGAACCGTGTTTTGATATATATCATGTATAAATGATTGTTCATGTACATTTTATTTGAAATGCTGTCACTCTGATCCCTTCTGGCGACCATAATCCTTAGCGTTCAAACAATAGAATGTTTTGATGTGATGTCATAATGAACTAGGGCAATTCAATGTTCTCTCTCAGTCTATTAATCTATTTTAGAGATATATCATGATTGCGCGTGTATAGGTTCTTTGCTTTGCAGTCATTCTTTCCCCTTTTGACGACCATAATCCTTAGCGTAAAAATATCGATAGAACGTTTTGGTGTGTAACTTACATGACGTAATCATGCCATAGGAACACGAACTTGTGAAGTATAGTAGCAGAAWACAATTTTCTTTAAATAAAGCAACGTRTGTAAGTGTTTAGGATCTTGYGGTGAGAGCACAATGATMTATTGGGGAAGAAAGAAATTTTGCCGCCCGCGAATTCAAGAACTTCACTCCATATTGGATTATCTTTTTTTCAGTTTGATMTTTTCAGTTTKTAATTTTCCCATTTTTGTTTTTCATTTCTCGCAAATGAAATATTCAACATCAAAATCTCTAAAAAMACATCTTTGGAACTTCAATTTAGTAGGAAGAAGAAACAACCAAATTTAAAAGGCATTCATTTTTGTTTTATTCTGCTTTTTTATTGATTATTATTGTTTATTATTATTATTATTATTATTATTCCTTAACTATCCGTTTCAAGCTCCTCTTAAGGATTTTCTTCTGTGTTATCTAGTTGTTTTGGTAGAGTGCTTGCGGATCTTCGGGAAGCTGAGGGTCATCCTCTACTGGATCTTCATAGGCCGGCTCGTCTTGCTCGGGCTCGTCACCTTTCCTACACGGGAGAAGGCGCCAGCCACATTTTCTTCCACAATACCTTGAGCACCTGAATTTTCCACGAATGTACCGGCAGCGCACACCACAGTGCGTCCAGCAGCCGTACCGTCTGCACAAGCCGACCGGCACACGACGACGGCGTCGACGTCGGCGTCGACCCCAAAGAAATCCATCAGCGTCGGGTACCACAAGTACAAAGATAAGGCAAAGAACACAAAGGAACTTGAAGTTCATCGCGACAAACCTGATACAAAAATTGAAGTAGATTTAATTAATAAATTTTGAGGTTAAGTAATCGGAAACTTGTAGGACAAAAGATTATTCTTGTAACACATAAAGGAGTGCTGTTTTTGACAGAATTTTAGGTCCTTCACTTGGGTGTGACTGTTGGTATGTGTCATAAAATTAACATTGTAACCGCGGACAACACGGCACATTTAACCCTAGGGAATACGCATCGCATGTCCTTTAAAAGAATTACTCTTTAAAGTAGGTTTTTCACATTACGTAAGGTGGAATTTAAGCTAATGTACAAACTTAGACTATCAATTTTTCTTGCCGAAAAAAAATCTTTTTAACCGTATGCTATTATGCACTGAAATTGTACAAAATAAACTATTAATTATAAGTAATCAAACAATATAAAGGGGTCAGTACAATATCATGCGTTAAATAATAACTCTAGGTAGTTGTGCTCAGGAAGTTTCTTGTAAAAAAGGAAAAAGAAAACGCGGTTAACAAGATAAAAAAGTAAACAACTACAAAATATCCTACAAAATAGTTTTAAATATGTAGAACAAGACTTTCAGAAGTCTCCCCTAAACCTCCAAGTACAAAAATTCGATTTTGCATGAAAAAATACTTTTGCAATTAAGACTTACCAAATTTTCCTATCAGTGATCCCCTTAACTCCTCGACGAGAAAAATGAAATGACGACTTTAGCTACCTTGTTTTGAATTTACATACACAAGGGCAATATATTCCTGTTTCAGTTTTTTAAAGGACGGTCCGCGCCAAATTGCTGTGTATTCGAGTGTTTTTTATTGCTCTTTGCTGAAACATTGCAAGAAGAAGTTCCCTTTAAGCTTCACGTCCCTCTCAAACCAATCAGTTTTTTTTATATTTTGAGTTAAAGCCATTGCTTTATCTATGGTTACAGTCGAAATGACAGTATTAAAGCTCRTTGATTGCAAATAATTTAGTAAGAACTGATCCATTATAACATAACCCGTGCAAACGGCTAAAAAATAGCTTTTGAAATTATGATGGAATGTACTCATGCAAAACTCTWARAGTGTTTCACTATTTMTTTAGAATTTTTTCAACTCCATGCTCAAAATTCCTAAAAATATATCAATTTTAGGCTGTTATTCGTACGTCAATTTTTTATGGATATAGACCAMCTAAATCATTGAAAATTATCGATTTTTRATGAAAATTAAAATCACCGKTTTCAAACCTCAATGCATCAAAATCCAACTAGAGTTTTCTAAAGGCAAACAATCTCAAATTTCGAGTTCTGGTTTGCKCTRTGTTAGCCTCAAAACCAAGCAAAATATTCTTTTGTTTTATTCAGGGGGATAGCCTGAGATTTAAAACTCATGGAATTGGAAAAGAAAGACAATAGAATTGACACTTTTATTCTTTCAATTAGGAATATTTTGCGCACAAATKAGGCTAACACATAGYATTGGASAATTCGAAAGAAATATGYTCCTCGGGACTGTAGGGGTTGACTAAAAACCGTAAGCATGTAACGAATTGAACAATACCTTTAATAAAGATTTTTATATCACACTTACATCAGTATTAAATAATCAGAATTGTAAYACTATAACTATTGCAACAAATTTACAAAGCTGTACAAGGGAGCTATGCGTACCCAAATGAATGTGTAATTTTGTTTTAAAAATACAATTTGTTTTTCAGTTTTTAATATCTAGGAAGGAGCGAAGTGTTATTTGTAATATTGATAGGTCGTAACTAGTTTTCTGCAGAATTCTCCTCTTATCGGGATTCCTGTCCCTTTTCGAGAAAAGGAGAGGCTGGGAAGGAGACTAGGTCATTAATGAAGTTATAATGTAATGACCCTAGAACGCAGTCTCTTGTAATATAAGCGTCCATAAGTGAAAGCGCTAGGTATGGACACTTGAAATGAAATGCTCGGTTAATGAAGACAACAGATTCAAGTTGATTCTCAACAATGTCCATAGAGTGGGCTCGTCGAAAACCCTTGAAACAATAACTATATGAAAAACCATTGGTTCACGGGTTTTAAAAAACGATTAAATCACACTTCAATTGAAGTCTCAAAGGTGTGTATCTGGGATAGAAATCCTACGAAGTTCAAAATGTTCTTGCTGATCAAACGATGGTTTCTCCTCTTCGCTCGGATCGAAATGACCTCCAGTTTTCAGAGCAAAAATCAAATCGTCAAAGTCCTGTGTTTCTATGTCATCTTCAAAGTTTTCGTTCATTTGTCCTAGAGATCCGGTGTCGTCCATATTTATCATTAGCTTTCGATTACTTCTTGGGGTGTTGTCGATATCGTCCCAGTCGCTCTGAAATGATATGGAATAATTTTTAAGGTTTTGTACTAAAACGCTGAATGGTGAAAGACCCTTAAAAAGTCACGCCATACAATTCAAGAAATGTTAAAATGATGTTTGAAATGAGCGGTAGAAATTTGATTTTTTTAATAAACCAAGATATTTGAATTTTAGAACACTTTCATGTTTTTTTAAAGCCAACGTGCATCTTATACAGAAAAAAAAATCCGGCGCCATCTTTGATTTTGAACCAATCAGAAAGCGGCTTTCAGCAACCGATTATTTGCAAAACAAAACAAATGCTCGCAAAGGCTCTCGGGTGGTCGTGTGACTTTAGATAATTTTTAGTTTTGTTAACTGTTAGAATTTATCATAAATGAGTTATTGATCATCAATACAGCCTTTTGCAAAAATTATGAGAATTGTCTAAATATCTAAATATCATAATATCCATATCCATATATTGTCCAGAACACGCGGGTTTGCTAGAATAATTCATTGTTGACATCGAGAAAATGTTCAGAACTACGGATAAGTCTGTCGCCAAAAAAAAACTAAACTACAAAGACAAGGGACTAAGGGCATCGCGTGGGATTACCCATCATGCACTTGATATTATGCACTCGATATTATGATATTTAGATATTTCAACAATTCTCATAATTTTTGCAAAAGGCTGTATTAGTCATTAATAAATATATCATTAAATAAATGAGAATTAGTACATGAAAGGCATGCAATCAACTAACAAATTTTATTTTCTTTAGAAGTATGGGTTCATCTCCATAAATCTCTGTAGAGATATTGATCTACCGAGAAAAAAATATGAAGATATACATCAAATGAAATGGTTAGTTAGTACATTAATGAATTAGTGGACAAGTTGTTTTTATTAGTAAAGAAGCTATCTGCATTAATATCATCAATATAAGARCGGACGCACTTAATTCTTGAGAGCTGATTAGTAAATGCATTAGATGTTAATCTAGCAACACAAGTACTAGAAAATAGTCTACTCAGTACATTTATCGCCGTAATAATATAAACACTTTGTTTTTTTTACCACATTTTTAGTCTAAATATTAGCGAAAATCATTCTTTTGTTTCAATTGAGCGCGCGCGCGAGACGTGATGTTGTCAGCAGTGTGTATGTCCTCTTATTGACACACTCTAATCAGCCAATCAGCGCGCGAGAGTTTACACAAGTGCGGTAAAATCATTTTATGCTGATCAAAAAGGTTCGACTTTACTCACGGTCTTCGCTGTTACTATAGCTGTTGCGAAAAAAGTGTAAAATCGATCCTTTGGAACGCGCATATTATCATTCTAATCATCATCATTATGATTGCTATCATAATTATCAYTATCATCATCATCAWTMAACGAGAATAACGAAAWCTGTTCCCTGTYTATCTTTCTATAGACATTTTTATGACATACCGGGACTTCGGGAGATGGTCTTTTGAATCGCCTGGAGCCACTGGAATCGGTTCCCAGRTTTCCTCTGAAGAAGTCGTCGTGTGTATGGATGGGTGGTGGTTCCCCCTGGAATGCATAAGTTCTCTTGAAGACCCCCCGGACTTGATTTCGTAAGATAAAGTACAGTATAAATACATACAGRCCCTGTGGTGAAACAATGAAGTTAAAATTAGTGATTGGGCGACTTTATTTCAGCGAGGTACAGTCAACTCTCGCCTTACGGACACACCGCTACAACGGACACCTCCATATTGCGGACATCAAAATACTGAATCCCCGGCCGAAAAATACAAAGAAATGACTGAAAGTAACTCTTGTTACTACGGATTCTCGCTAATGCGGACACTAAATTACGGTCCCGACGGTGTCTGTAATAGCGGAAGTTGACTTTAACTACAAAATGTATGCTTCACTCACCAACATAACATCAAAGATAGCGAAYAGAATGACCATCCACAGGTAGCCATAAGCGAGGTGAAGACCAGCGAATAACCAAGTGATCGATACAAGAATGAATAGTAAGATGACATGACGCACCTCTAAAAAACAGAAACACATTCATGTCATTAGTCTTAGTAGTCGGTGTGCAGCGACGCCATTTTGTGCAGCAAGGCATGATACATGGTAGTAGCCCATAAAATATCTTCTTAAAAGCCGTTGTATTTTATTTTTAGAAACGGCACAAATAATTTTATTTTCGCTGGTCTGTGGAACAGTCTGAATTAATAGTGTGTCCTTCGTATACAATAATTTGCTCATTAACATAGAGAATTTAAGTAGTGTATAAAGAACGAAAGAGTGTGTTTTATCGGGTGATAAAGATCCGAGCCGAAGGCGAGGATCTTTAGTCCCTATAAAACACACTCTTGAGTTCTTATTCTAATAATTGTAAATATTAAAGTTATTGCTGTCTATATGTTTTTCGGCTTGTTGTTTATCTCCGTAGCCTTATTCCACATTCATTCTAAAACTCGGTTCCTGATTGACAATACTTTGTTTTGATTAGTTAAAGAATAGTTCGTTATACCATTCAAACTATTCACCCTACATTGAACAAAAGCTTGAATGACTTCAAAGTGTATTATCAGCTATATAATATAGGGTACTTAGTGTGCAATGCATTGATTGTCTATTTGTCATTGTTTTGTGTATTATCAGCTATATAATATAGGGT